TTTTAGCCGGGATGGAAGATGTGATTTAGATGTGGACAGGCGTGTCGCTGCCGGGAACAAAGTCAATGGTGCCCTGACTGCGTTAGTCAAAAGGCAAGGCGTAGTGAAGAGTGCACGCCTTGCAATACATAACGCAGTGTTGGTACCGACTTTGTTATATGGCAGCGAAACCTGGGTATGCCAGAAGAAGCATAAAGGCAAGTTGAATGCAGTGGAGATGCGATCTCTTCGTAAAATGTGCGGCGTTACCATGGCCGACCGAAAGCGAAACGAAGAGATTCGCAATATGGCAGGTTTGAAGGATGACCTTATCACAAAAATTGATAAGGGCGTGCTTCGGTGGTTTGGGCACGTTGAGCGAATGAGTGAAGACCGAATGGTGAAGAAAATATATAGCGCGAAAGTTAATATTAAACGGTGTCGAGGTAGACCGAGACTAACTTTCGAAGACCATGTGAGCAAATTGCTCGAAGAGGGTAGGGTCAAGAGTACTCGGATACCTAGACGTGCATGTATGAAGAAGATAATGAATCTGAAAGAAGCGAAAGAGGTATGTAAGGATCGTGACACTTGGCGATCTGTTCTCTCTGGCTACCCCGTCAGGGATTGTGCGTGAAGATAAGTAAGTAAGCAATATTGCAGACTAGATACAGATATTATTATTAATATTGTTACAAGTATGGAAGAAGTAGAGACGTACGTGTTATTATAAGTAAAGTAGGACAGTGTTATGGTATTAATATTATCGTATGACAAAAGATGATATATACTATATAGATGGCATACTGTTTGTAACGTACGGCTATAATAAATCTTAGGAGATATTCATAAGTCGTATCGTATTTGGCGCTCCTATTTTTGATGTTACTACTTAACTTCGAATCGCACGTTCAATCTCTTTCATACTGATGACCTCAGTGTCATCGAGGTTCGGGTCTGGCGTTCCAGTCACGGCGTCATCCCCGGATCCCTCACTAAGATCATCACACGCATACATTTCTCTATAAAATTCGCTCCATCGCTGCATGACGTCCGATTTTTCTGAGAGGACGTCATAAGTTCTCGAAAGCACTTTGTTCATTCTTAAGGCCGTCGCACCACTTCGGGTCCTTCCAACCTCTTTCCAGAAGAGTTTGGAGTTCTCCTTAAAGTTGTGCGACAACCTTTCGTCCGCTTCCATTCTACACCTTTCACGCACTTCCTCAATCAATGCTTTCGTGTGAACTTTCTGCAGCCTATATTTTTCTTTCATCTTCTCTCTCATATCCTTATCATTACTAGAGGCCAAGTAGTCTAACCATGCTTTCTTCTTCTTCTTTACAGCTTCTTTCACTTCATCATTCCACCATGCATCTCTTCTTTTACTACTGCCTCTTTTTATTGTTCCACACACTTCTTCAGCTGCACTTACCATTCCATCCCTAAGGTTCTGCCATGTTCTTTCTACACATTCGTTTCTGCCATCGATGGTGTCAAGCTTTTCGGCTACCCTCGCATGATATTTGTCCCTAGTATCCGCTTCCTGAAGCTTCCAGCTTCGGATGCGACAGACCGACTGTGGTTCTGTCACTGCCGTCCGGTAGCGCCAACCCGCGAACAGACCCCTAAATCTAGTAATCACTAGATAGTGATCCGTTCCCAGGTCAGCACCTCTGAACACTCGCGTATCCATAACCTGTTTTCGCAGTCGGTCATCCACCAGGAACAAATCGATCATACTTCTCTCATTCTTTCTTTCTTTAGTATACATATGGATTTTCTTGTGATTAAATATAGTGTTTGTCACAAGAAGACCCTTTTCCTTGCATACCGCCAGTATAAGCTTGCCAGCATCATTAACCCTTTTATCGCCAAACTTTCCAAGTACCGACTCGTACCCTGGTAGAGCGGTACCAACCCATCCATTCAAATCACCACATACAACAATTCTTTCGTTTCCCCTAGCCAAATCTAGAACTTCTCTTACATTCTCCCAAAACTCCTCCAGCTCAGCCCTGGACGACGAAGCTACCGGCGCATAAACAGCCAAAAGGAATAACTTCGTCAGTCCCAATTTAAAGCGAACCCAGAGAAGTCTTGAGTTCACAAACTTATATTCAGTCATAACATCGACCAACCGAGAAGACAGCAGCACCCCCACTCCCTGGCAGGCGTTCTCGCTCTCCGGGACTCCGGACCATAGAGCAAACGCCCCGCCAGGGAGCTCTTCAGTACCACTGCCCTTCCGTTTGGTCTCCGACATACACACGACATCTAATTCTCTTTCTTTCATTATTTCGATCAACTCATTCGTCTTATCTCTCATTCCTCCTCTAACATTCCACGTGCCAACTCTGCACTCTGTCCTCCACCTTCCGCCGTGTCGGGCTGTGCGTGACGGGTGGCGGTCCCCATCGCCGCTTTGCGCGCTGCATTCCACACCAACGGGGACGAGCTGGTGTGCGTCGCCTTGGGGGGACGCCCTAACCCTCGTTGGCATGGGTGCGCAGCTGAGTAGAATTGCAGCCCTGAAAAGGGCTGGCAGGGGTCGCGACGAGCACGCTTCTACAATGACCCCCAGTCGTTAGTAGTAGTAGTCTATAATAATCACGCTGTTCATGTGCGCGCTGTTGAAACTTGGTTGAAACCGTGGTTGATACGCCCGCTGTTCGACGGCATGTCTAGCGGCGTGACTGACAGCCTAAATCCTTATACATTTAGATACTAGGTATCTTACCGTACCGTATATGCTAATGACAACATCTAAATGCTAACAGCCAATATATACATATATTTTTATTTTTACATTAATACACACAAACATTATCTCTCATTTCAAAAGCAATGCTCAGAAAACAGATTTGTTAACTACATTCTATGCATTTATACGTTGCACTTACATACACTTAGGCTTTAGGACAAAAATTGTATACCTAATTATGTAGATAGGTACTAGAAATAGCTAAATGTCTTAGGACATCGTTTTTCAGTTTGTTAAAAATCACTCGGATCTCTGAAAAACCGTAATATTCATGGTTCGACTATAACCTCAAAATCTAATACTTTTTTTGAAATATATCTATTATGCAGCTAGTCCGCTATAAAAATAAGATCAAATAGGAATTGACTAATGATCAACAATAAAATACATAATTTTCTGATGCTCTTGGTTCCAGGGCGAACAATGTATGGGCGTAGAGCAATGTCCTTTATCTTATTCTTTTTAGTTATTTGATGTCAGCTTTACTTTTTATTATAAGCTTAATTTTAATGACAACGTTACATTAGAATTTCTCCAGTATCTTAGAGGCTTTTTTCATATTTACATGCATTAATTGGAAATGGATAAACATCCAGACCTGGAACAATAATTTGAAGGCCATAAATATGTAATTATGTATGTATTATCTATGTTTAGTTTCCTTGGCGAGTAAGCCTATCATATTCCTGTCCATGAACCTTAATAATATAAGTCGTGAACCCTACAACAATATGGGTGCATATTATGTCAAAAATAATTATTTAATCTTTTGTTGTCACTTATGAAAGACTAGAATTATACTACATAGATTTCATCCATATTCCATCCATGTTGATTCTTTTTCTTTTCACACAGATTCATTGTTGTCATTTTAGAAGGCGTTATTGACTTATAATAACTATTTACTACGTACAACAGAAAAGACACTACCCAAGACCAATATTGCTACTAAACGTAGTTATTATATTATACTCTTTGATTGCTACAACCTGTAAACACTGTAATTTTTTTAGTATAGCAATAAATTTTCATATTGATTTTCCTTTTTCTTATAGATGTGCCAACTCGGAAAAATTACAACTCGAGTTAACTCGAGTTGAAATTCTCGCAACTCGTGTTTAAACTCGAGTTACGCAACTCGAGTTAGCAGTACGAAACAGACTAAAGAAATTGTCACAAATAACTTTTTTATAAATTTGTTTTTCTATCTCGCTCTGGTGGGTTGGTATAACTATAATTACCAAACTTATTATGTTGGAAATAAAAAGGTATATTTAGTAGTATGTATCACATACTTATGTATTCTTGGTTTTAATCTTAGTAATAGTAAGTACATGTATGTATTTAACGACAAAACTAGCTATATAACAGTCTTCACGATACAATATTAGTCTAGCTTTAAGATGTAGGTACATAAGCTATTAATAGTTTAATTATCACACTCAAAATATCCTTAAATAAATTCAATTTCAAATTCATAATATTTATTGTAAGTTAAGTGTTACATTTGGCGTAAATTTAAAATATGATGATCTTACAACTTAACCACCCTTTTCGGGTATTACAATAATAGGTCTGCGAGTTACATAACTATATTGATCATAATTAATCAAAATTATAAAAAAAATTACATTACTTAGCTATTATATAATTCTAATTAACAAATTGGTGTTTTTTTAGCTAAATACTCTTTAAAACACGAAGCCCGCACACAACGAACGAATCGCGCTTTTACTCTTTTGCTGGTTTACTTGACCCGTCCATGTACAGCAGTTCAAACTCGAGTTAGGGAGAACCAACTCGAGTTAATAACTCAAGTTAACTCGAGTTAATAACTCGAGTTGACCCATCACTACTTGTTCTTTCATTTCATCTATTGATTGACGACGGGTGGAGGCGTTTGTTCGATCGCTTGGTGTTCACGTCATCATTTATACTCAAATGTCTTATTTTTGCATCACACATGCTTAGGGGTAACCGAATAAGAAAAAAATCGAAGAATCCCGCCTGTACCAGAAGATAAGTACGTGTGCTAATAGGCGTAAATGTAAACTAGAAAGTATGTGAACGAAGTCGTGTGGTGTCTCGTCCGTCCGGTTTGATCTGGATTTTAGCAGTTTGAACCGCGAGTTGGGACTCCCTTTCCCTCTTAATTAATTTATTAATACAATTTAGTGGTGTGTTTTACAAACTTTAACGATTATTTATTAGTATTTTTTAGTGATTGTGTGGTGCATTAGTTAATTTAAGCCGTTTCAAAATGTCTGAAGAGTCATCAGCGGATCGCAATGTCGAAATTTGGAAAATCAAGAAGCTGATCAAGAGCTTGGAGATGGCGAGAGGGTGAGTTTTGAATGAAATATTTAATTTCGATAGGAGTCGTGTGGTTTTGTAACATGTTCTTTGTATGATATGTTATTGATTATTTCGTTGGCGAAATTGCCAACACGGCTGCGTCATTTGTACGTCTGGTCTGGACACATGCGCGTGCTGCATGCGCGGATATTAGAGGTGTCCATTTTGAAAATATATCGATGTTTTATTTCGATGTGATGCATCGAAAATGTGCATCGATGTATTTCGATGCATCGGTTAGAAACATCGATGTTTTTGTAACATCGAGTACTTTTTATTACTTTATATTATAAATCTGTAGTCATCTTCCTGACACTCCATTCAAACAACCGCCAATTTTGAATGATCTACTCTTACATCGGCACTGTCTTTGTCCGCAGTCCGCACACCTTTTGTGTGTGTGTGTGTGTGTGTGTGTGTGTGTGTGTGTGTGTGTGTGTGTGTGTGTGTGTTTGTGTGTGTTCAAGGATGTTAGACAGTTATATAGATATTCTTTATTGCACGAAACATAAAGTATCTTAATCTTAAGAATTAATATATTGTTAACAGACGTATATATGTCTTTATGTATTTATTTAATTTTTATTTTGTTTTTATTCTATATTGCTACACCTACGTCAAATTCTCACCACTCCATGGGTTGACTGGTAGAGAATGCCTCAAGGCATAAGGTCCGCCCTTTGTATTCTTTTATATTAAGGAATACAATAAAGAATAAATAAATTATTATTTATGATCATTGACCTACTACTAAATGGACGGCGGGCCTAGAACAAAATACACGAAAAATGTGTTCCGAGTCAACCTATATAAGCGTATTATATATACAATTTTAATTGCGACAATTTAGCAGCCTTTCAACTTCAACCAGAAACTGTTATCATCTTATGCAGCTTCTAGCGAAAATTATCGGTACGGTATGATTTTTAGTTTTTACAATTAATGTGAATTTAATTTAAATACTAATCTATGCAAAATATTACTTTTAAATGATTAAATATTAATAGTCCTTATCGAAAATATATATAAACTAGCTGTTCCCCGCGACTTCACTCGCGTGTTAGGGTTTTTATGTTTTTGTGCGGAACCCTAAATACTTTTCTAAAATAAATGTAGCCTAAGTAACTCCTTATGAAATCAGCTATCTGCCGGTGAAATTCCCGTCAAAATCGGTTCAGCCGTTTCGGAGATTACGCGGAACAAACAGACAGACAGACAGAAAAACAAAAATTTTAAAAATTGTATTTTAGTTATAAGTACTTACCGTATTGGCAAATACCCCCCTATGAATGACAGTAACAAAGAAACGGCCCCCAGTCCCCGGCGGCCCCGCTATTCCTGGCTACGGTGGCGACCATGGTAACGGCGGGGCAGGGGGTGCTAAGAATCTCCGGTGGAGGTTCGGTTGCCACCTTAGACGACTCGACCTGGCAACGTACAACGCACGCACCCTGAGGACTGACGAGAAGATCGTTGAGCTGGAAGAAGAGATGAACAAGTTGCGCTGGCATATTATAGGATTATCCGAAGTCCGAAGAGAGGGGGAGGACACGGTAATCCTCGAATCCGGCAACTTGCTCTATCACCGGGAGGGCGACCATCTGTCCCAAGGAGGTGTCGGATTTATCGTCCACAAGTCTCTCATTAACAACGTTGTAAAGATCGGGAGTGTGTCGACGAGGGTTGCGTACCTTATACTCAGAATCACCAAACGGTATTCGCTGAAGGTCATACAGGTTTACGCACCAACCTCGGCACACCCCGATGAGGAGGTGGAGGAAATGTATGAGGATATCTCTAGAGCCATGCATTCCTCCAAAACCCAATATACGGTGTTAATGGGAGACTTTAATGCAAAACTAGGCACAAGAGAGAACGGTGAGCTGAAAGTAGGGAAATTTGGAATAGGGCAACGGAACCCAAGGGGCCAGCAGCTGGCCGACTTCATGGAGAAAGAGGGACTCTTTATGACGAACTCTTTCTTCCAGAAGCGGCTCCACAGGAAGTGGACCTGGTCGAGCCCCGACGGTTCTACAAAAAATGAGATTGACTTCATTATGACGACCAGACGACAACTGTTCAGTGATTTCTCCGTGATCGCGAGGGTGAAAACTGGTAGCGATCACCGAATGGTTAGAGGCACACTGAACCTAAACGTTAAGTTGGAGAGGTCTCGTCTAATGAAGTCAACGCTCCGTCTCCCTCGTGCTCTAATCCAAAGTCCCGAAACCTTTCAACTCGAGTTACAAAACCGTTTTCAGTGCCTAGAAGACTGCAATGAAGTGGACGATATGAATGACAAGCTCGTGGAAACTGTCCATGCGGTCGGAGCTAAGTTCCGCAAGACCCGCCGCAGAAGAACACAAAAACTCTCCGATCACACTCTTAATCTCATGGCTGTTAGACGGGAGATGAAGCTACATTCTTCAACAGACTTGACAGCATACAGGCATCTGAACAGACAGATCTCCAAATGCATGCAGCGGGACTTACGCAACTTCAATACAGCTCGTATTGAAGAAGCGATCGAGCGGAACCAAGGCTCCAAAGTCTTTGCCAGAGATCTGTCTGCCAGAAAGAGCCAACTGTCAAAGCTTAAGACAGAATGTGGCAGCATCGTTTCCGGGACACCTGAGATTTTGAGTGAGATTGAGAGGTTCTATGGGCAGTTGTACACGTCATCGTTAAAGCCACACGCAAGTGTGAGTAACGATCCAAGAGCGAGTCTCATCCGACACTATTCCGAAGATATCCCGGACGTCAGTCTAAACGAGATTAGAATGGCTCTCCAGCACCTTAAAAACGGTAAGGCCCCAGGCGAGGATGGAATTACAGCGGAGCTTCTGAAAGCGGGTGGAAAACCGGTACTTGAAGTCCTTCAGAGGCTCCTTAATTCCGTCCTCCATAGTGGCATTACACCGGAGGCGTGGAGCAGATGTGCGGTGGTCTTGTTCTTCAAGAAAGGTGACAACGCTCTCTTGAAGAACTACAGACCGATTTCCCTTCTGAGCCGCGTCTACGTGCTGTTTTCGAGAGTCATTACGAATCGTCTCGCGCGCAGACTTGACGACTTCCAGCCTCCCGAACAAGCCGGTTTCCGAAAGGGCTTTAGCACCATAGACCACATACATACCCTTCGGCAAATTGTACAGAAGTCCGAAGAGTACAATTTGCCACTATGTCTGGTGTATGTGGATTATGAGAAAGCCTTTGATTCCGTCGAAATTTGGGCGGTGCTGCAGTCTCTTCAGCGGTGCCAAGTTGACTGTCGGTATATCGAAGTGTTGAAGTGCTTGTACAGTAGGGCTACGGTGACTATCCGAGTACAGAACCAAAGTACGAAACCTATCCAATTGCAGAGAGGTGTAAGACAGGGTGACGTCATATCCCCGAAACTCTTCACCGCTGCATTGGAAGACGTTTTCAAGCTTCTGGACTGGAAAGGATACGGTATCAACATCAATGGCGAGTACATCACTCACCTTCGATTTGCTGACGATATAGTCCTTATGGACCTAGCTAGAGGACCTAAGCACTATGCTCAATGACCTCAATAGTGTTTCCCAACGGATAGGTCTTAAGATGAACATGGACAAAACAAAGATCATGTTTAATGTCCATGTCACACCTATGCCAGTAGTTGTTGGGAACACTAAGCTCGAAGTTGTTGACGAGTATGTTTACCTGGGACAAATAGTCCGACTAGGTAAGTTCAACTTCGACCGAGAGATCAATCGACGGATTCAACTCGGTTGGGCAGCGTTCGGGAAATTACGGCACATCTTCTCGTCAGGTATACCTCAAACCTTGAAAACGAGACTGTACACCCAGTGCGTATTGCCAGTGATGACATACGGAACTGAGACGTGGTCCTTCACTGCTGGCCGGATGAGGAAGCTCAAGGTCGCTCAGCGAGCTATGGAGAGGGCTATGCTCGGAGTTTCTCTGCGTGATAAACTTAGGAATGAGGATATCCGCAGTAGAACCAGAGTAACCGACATAGCCCAACGGATTAGTAAGCTGAAGTGGCAATGGGCCAGCCATATAGCTCGAAGAACCGACAACCGATGGGGAAGAAAGTTTCTCGAGTGGTAGCCTCGTACCGGTAGACGAAGTGTAGGGCGTCCCCCCACGAGATGGAGTGACGACCTGGTAAGACATGCAGGAAGTCGATGGATGCAGGTGGCTCAGGACCGTGCTTTGTGGCATTCTTTGGGGGAGGCCTATGTTCAGCAGTGGACTTGTGAAGGGCTGTAATGATGATGATGACTTACCGTATTTACTTTCATATGCATTTAGTAAAAAACTGTAATTTTTACATTACAAACAGAGACTTCAATTTTATTTATTTGTATAGATTATAAATATAAATAGTTTTGTTCGTTTTGTGATACAGTTCGGTATTTTGGAACGCAATTGGAACTCTTTTTGCATTTTGGAACTCTTTTGACTCGGACACTTGAGCGCAGAGCCGAGGTCCATTTAGTAGTAGGTCAATGTTTATGATATTATTTTAAATGGTTTCAATAAAAAAAAGCATGCATCATAATAAAAATACTTACATATGGAATATAACTCCATCTTTTTGTAAATTTTAAGTATTTTGACTGCTTTATGCACACGTGGTAGAGCCATGCTGCAGCTATATTTCTGGTATAGTTGTAACATGAATGGGTCGGCTCGACCGGGGAAGGACCACGCTCCCACAGAATACCAGCGTAAAATAGCAGCTTAATTCTGCTGTGTTTCGTATGGTGAGTGTAGAGAACCGGAGACCCTTTTTACTGGAAACGAGGCATTCCATCTTAGTCCTCACGGGTGACAACGCATCTGCATTTTGATTCCTCATCGAGGATAAATGTAGATGTCTTTGGGCCACAGCAACCACTTACCATCAGGTGGACTGTGTGCTCGTTTGTCACCCTTATCCTATAAAAAAAACACGTTAACCGCACCGATCGGCATTTTTTAAAGAGCACCTATTTCGGCGGAAACGATTCTTGTAATGATAAAATCGATTTCGTAAACAGTTTTTATAAACGCACAAGCTTTTAAATCCAATACCTTGGCAGAGGGGAATAATTACGCCAGAGGAGTCCACTGGGTTAAATGGTCTAAAGGCGGCTGCTCACTTGCCTGCTGCAGGGGCAATCTAGGGTGTAGGAGTGGGAATGACCCTTAATAGCCTCCTTAATTGCGATGTGTGTATGAAAGCAGGGGCAATTTTCTAAGACGGCCCTGCGGCAGAGCGACATGAGCGCAAGACCTTCCTTGCTCCCTAGATCACAGCTACCGCTTCCACGTGTGTAGCGCAATTAAGGCGCAGGTTGAGCAAAATGTCGCGCCAGTCGTTATTTGGGCAATTTTTAGAAGCTATCTACTTTTTATTTAAAAGATATATCAACAAATAAAAAACACATTATATTTCTACATAATCTTGATTCCATAAAAGCTATATCCAATTTTTTTTTTAAAGGAATAAATATTAATATAATCTCCTTACAACGAAACCACATAAATGTGAAATTATTATTGATAACATGCATCTCCTCGTAAAGTAAGTATTATTTTATTTTGCGATTTACACCAATGGATAGGCAATTTATTAATGAACATTTCTATAGTAAATTTTTTTTCAAAAGACCAATATTTGATTTTATTAAGAAATTATTTTAAAATCTGGGCATATTTACTGCTCACGGGCTTGGTGAAGTCAGTGAGCGCTGAGCTCTTCGACGAGAAGCCCGTGTCGTTAGAGCGTCGACCAACGCATACGCCACGTCATATGAGTCGATAATATTATTACTTATTAGGTTATTTATAGGTAGTATTATTTGTTTGTTTTGGGTATAATTTTTCGTATTAGTTATACATATATTTGTTGTGCTTTTTACTGCGCGATGAAGCTTTTTGCGTGTATTTTCTTTGAAGTAAATGCAAATAAAAAAATGAAGCACCATTAGCATGTAAGGTTCGAATCCATAATTAAATTTCGACAAATATTATTAATTTACACTATAAAAGGCTAATTCAATATTATCACCCAACCACAATATCTTATCAGGTATAGTGCTGCCTCGTTGGTCTAGTGGTTGTAGTAGTGCGACTGCTGATCATGAGGTCCCGGGTTCGAGTCCTGGGTCGGGCCAAAAAGTCAGTTATGAGTTTTTCATTTATGTTCTAAGTTATAATTAGTATTACTAAGTTATAGTTTTTTGCTAAAATATAGTATATTATTTATTGCTTGTTTTTTCTTCTTTTTCAAAAAATAATTGAGTACATAAGGTGTTCTATACTTATAATTCGGTAAAAAGTAATAATATACCTACTTTTTACTATAAACTAAAAAAAATGAAAACTAAATTTAACTAAAAAGACTAAACTGACCATTTATTTTTTAACTCATAACAGGACATGGGTTTATTTATACTCTAAAAACTATAACTTTATACAATTAGTGTTCACTATAAAATTATATTTGGTATAGACGGTAATTATTAAATGCAACATATTTTTTTTAATTATTAATTACATTTGTCAGTGGATTAAATTTGCTTTAATAAAGTTGGTGATGATTTTAAATAAGAATAAAATTCTGCTCAAGTTTTTTATTGTTATCTTTGTTAACAACATCGCCTTTAGAACTCTGGAGCCGTAAGTGTTTCTTTCAGACGTCCACAATTTATGCAAAATAAAAAAATACTCTTTCTACCGGAGCATTCGTACCAGGTAGACATAAAATATATTCGATTAAAAAAAACTATGTTGAAGATTGTTGACTTTGAATACTTCCATCCAACGAGTTACGGGACAATTTTGTGTCCCGGAGCTTTGTTTGGGGACAATGGGACAGGAGACCGAGAAAAGGGACAGTCCCGTTCAAAACGGGACGTATGGTCACTTTAGCTATAACCCGGCGACCATGAAGCAAATACAAAGTTAGTTTTTGTATTAGCTTCATGGTGGCGCAGTGGCTTAGCAATCAGTTGTTGCGCTGGGGGCCGCGGGTTCGAATCCCGCATGGAACAAGTATTTGTATGGCCTACAAATAATTGTTCCGGGTCTGGATGTTTGTCTTTGTGCAATATTTATGTTTGTAAACTGCCTTCACGACACAGGAGAAAATCCTAGTGTGGGGGTAACGTTTTTTTACAACTGAAATTGAAAGATTGAACCCTTATACTTCTTGTTGATTTTTGTATTACCTTTATTAAAGTTACCCTTATGTATAAATAAATATAATTACGTATGTAGAAATAAAATTGATTTTCATCCTCATCAATCATTGGGGTGAGGATAATATCTGCTAGCATAAGTAATAAGCAGGCTAAGTTACAAGGTGCTCAGTTCAAAAATTAGTAGGTAACTTTTCAATACGTGACACGTAAAAATTAACAATAATCAAAAACATATATGCGAAACATCCTATTTATTTATTTATTTTTTATTGCACCAAATATTTGTACAAAAGCCGAGCTATCTATTTATTTACCTATAGTGAATAGGTATCTTTTAAACTCACAATTTTCAATGCTTCAGTTTTAATATATAATTAATTATAAAATTTCATATTTAGATAGTATATGAAAATACATAATTCTAATATAATGCAACTAATATATACAGAATAAAAAAATTAAAATACATTAATCTTTGTACGCTATGTGTATTTCCATAAAATAGTTTATTGATGTTGAAAAAATAATACTACTTTCGTACAATAGGTGGCGTCTTACATATTTCTTCCGGCGAGCCGCTCGCTACAGCTACGCTTAGGTCAAATGCTCAAGGTCGTTCGCATGGAGTAGCCCCTTAAGGCAATTTCAATCAGTTCGTTAGCGACTTTCGCGCGCAGCACATGTCACAATGGATACTAATAAAAAATATGAAATTCGGACACTGATGATAAGTGTATAAAGAGCAGCTTCTTCACCCAGTATCTTCTTTTTGTCTTTTTTTGTGGTAGCACCGCAGAAAGAACGTTATTTGAACGTCGTAACGTTTCTAAACCCTCTCCCGCTGGATGTCCGGTCAGTCAGACGTGTTAACGACAACTCCTTGCAAATTATTTCTTGAAGTTTTAAATAAAATACTGTGTGTGTGTGTGTGTGTGTGTATGTATGTGTGTGTGCGTGTGTGTGTGTGTGTATGTATGTGTGTGTGCGTGTGTGTGTCTGTGTGTGTGTGTGTGTGTGCGTGTGCGTGTGCGCGTGCGTGTGCGTGTGCGTGTACGTGTGCGTGTGCGTGTGCGTGTGCGTGTGCGTGTGCATGTGCGTGTGCGTGTGTGTGTGTGTGTGTGCGCGCGTTATAATGTTTGTATCTTTTCTCTGCTTTCAGCAATGGAACATCAATGATTTCACTGATCATCCCACCAAAGGATCAGATCTCGCGAGTCTCTAAAATGTTGGCGGATGAATTTGGAACAGCCTCTAACATCAAGTCACGTGTTAACAGGCTTTCTGTGCTTGGAGCTATCACCTCTGTGCAGCATCGACTCAAACTTTATACTAAAGGTAACTGAAACCTTACTGACTAACACAGTGACATTTTCATATACATACTAGCTAGCTTGGCAGACACTGTTCTGCCTTCCCGGTAGGTTGCTCGATGATTTTTACTCCGAATTTTTGAATAACTAAATACAAAACTTATGAATAACTCTACCACAGTAGTACAGCAGGTCCTGTTTAGCATTTTTTTTGGCACTAATCCTACATTGTTAACAAAGTGAAAATTAGTCATTTTGTTCCATTAATATAGAATTTGTTAAAAACATGACTACAGCACTATTTATTGGATCCTAACATAAATATGAATCATCTTGACCAAACCAAAAATATATTATGCTCATTCATTGAAGTGGTCTAGGAGTTACACTATACATAATATAATACATACATTATATAATATAGTAATGATATTCAGTATCATTTATAGTGATCATATGTTAGCAAAGAAATGAGGTCAAAGTTGATGGTTATAAATTTGGAGACTGTCATTGTCTTTTATATAATATGTAAAGCAATTAAAAGTAAAAAGCATTGCCATAGATCTTGATTTAAATATACTGAATATCTTTTATTTATTTATTTATTCAGCCAAACTTAACACTAACATTACATGACCTAATGCGCTAGTGAAAACAGTAAACATTTTTATTATTGTAACATATTATAAATAATGCAGCCCTTGTGAATTCACTCACAGAACATACAAATATGTCAACTTCCTCATGGATAAGGTTAAGTAGTGTGGTGGCACGAGTGCTTAAAATTTAATCAGAATATTCTACGATTCTCCCTAATCACCAACTTTTCCTTGACCTGTCTGATTGATGGACTAGACTCTGAAGGCTGACTGATGGTGAGAAGTTCAAATATTGCTGCACTCTTTCATAGACTGGAGGTGGTCAAATTCTTGGAAAAGCCATGACAATGAATAAATTGTTTATGTAAAAAAAAAAAAAACAAAAAAATAAGGGTGAAGGTTGGGGTGGAATTTGTGGCTATAGGTGACAGCTACTTACGCTGTGCTACTGATTGCAAGCCATGTTTTAGCTTGCCATAGCAATATAATCATGTTTTTTTTTATTGCAGTGCCACCAAATGGTCTAGTCATCTACTGTGGTACAATTGTTACTGAGGAGGGAAAGGAGAAGAAAGTGAACATTGATTTTGAGCCATTCAAGCCCATCAATACATCCCTGTACTTATGTGACAACAAGTTCCATACTGAGGCCCTCACTGCGTTGATGGCTGACGACAATAAGTTTGGCTTCATTGTGATGGATGGTAATGGAGCGCTGTTTGGTACACTGCAAGGAAACACTAGAGAGGTAAGATGGTCCTAAGGTAAGACACATATAAAATTGTCTACCATATTAGGTATGTTTTTACTTTTTCACCAGCCTGATAAATTCAACTGCCACTACAAAGGTTTGCTATTTTGCATTAATGATGGGCATACATATTGATGATGACAATCTGACATCACATTGTTAATGTTGTACCCCCTAGCCGATCTGCGTATTTAACGAGTGGCGCAACAAGATGGTCATGGAATGTTGAAAAAAGATTGATGTTTCCGTCTAATGCATTGCAAAAAATACATTGATGTTTTCCATACATCAATTGTTTTTTAAACACCTAACACAACAGCAAATTTTATAATGGATTCCTACTTAATAATTTCGAGGATCAAACGAGCACCTTACTAATTTAATGAAAACAATATATGCACTCTTTATTTGTTTTCCCTGATGTACTTTGCATTTTTAAAGATTTTTACGGCTTGATGCTTGGCTAGTATCATTTATTTGACAGTTGACGCTGATTTTTCACCCATGGGGGAAAATGTTGTGATGCATACTATTACACCATTACTATATGGTCATTTCATAGCACAAAAGTGTTCTATCCCAGCATGTCCACTGAAAATTGTAATTTAATTGTTTGATTATCATTAGTATTGAGAAGGGAAACCTGTATGTCAGAGAAGCAACAATATTTTGAAGATATGTCATGTTTTCCAACACACATTGTTACAGTGCAATAGACCCTTACGTGCTCAAAAAACTTCGAGAGGTCAGAGAAGGCGTGTGCCCAGCTATTGGTCGAATTATTAGTATAATAATCATCATTAAAGCCTCTCAAAATTCCACTGCTGAACATAGGTCTCCCTCATATGGGTAATATTAGACATAGTTGCTTCGCTTGGCAGATGGGGATCCGGATGGATGTATGAATACTAATAATTTTTGTTTTACACTAATTACTGATTTTCTTCTTATATTATGTATTTTCATTGTTATTAACTATCAACCATTGACTGCCTTGTTGGTCAAGTGGTCATCAGCTTCACTGCTGATCACGTGTTCCTGGGTTTGAATGCTTGATCTGGTCCAAATCAGTAATTATATTTTTGTGTCCAAGCCAGCCCAAGAAGTAGGCCATAGTCAGGTAATTGGTGGTGTTTCACCCCTGTGCTTTGGAAAGCAAAAAGCCTTTTGGTCTGATTTCTCTCCAGACAGACTACAGACTTTGAATACCAGCGTAAAACAGCAGCTTAACACTACTGTGTTTCATACGGTGAATGTAGAGAACCGGAGACCCTTTTTACTGGAAAAGAGGCATTCCATCTTAATCCTCACGGGTGACAACACATCTGAATTTTGATTCGCAAACGAGGATAGATGTAGATGTCTATGAGCCACAGCAACCACATACCATCAGGTGGACTGTGTGCTCGTTTGGCACACTATCCTATAAAAAAAAGACAATTTGCATTGCTGTCTCATCGGACAATTAGAGTGAGGGAATAGAGATGCACTTGTTATTCCATCCTGCACAGATGGCTATTGAGGTTGGCCGTAGTGACCGAAATTAGTTTTGAAGCACATTATTATTAAGTAAAGTTATTATAAAAAGAAATATCAACTTACAGGTGCTCCACAAGTTCACTGTAGATCTGCCGAAGAAGCACGGTCGTGGTGGTCAGTCTGCGTTGCGTTTCGCCCGTCTCCGAATGGAAAAGCGTCACAACTACGTGCGCAAAGTTGCAGAGGTTGCTACACAATTGTTCATCAGTGCAGACCGTCCCAACGTAGCAGGACTGATTTTGGCGGGTTCCGCTGACTTCAAGACTGAACTGTCCCAGTCCGATATGTTTGACCCAGTAAGTCTAATGCAAGTTTATCTTTACTTTATGGCTTTTCTTATTATACTTCTGCCAATGTCAAGTCAGAGTGACAATAAAGTAAATGAAAACTTGTCATGTATACTTAAATAATTGTTTTGTAAGAGCTTTCTAATCTACAACAAAAGACAAAACAAACATTTAATATCCTGCCACCAACAATGATTTATTATTAGTATAGATGAAATCACATGAAATATGAACAAATGAGGAAAACACAAGGCACAGCAAACTAATTGAATTAGTAAGATGAGGGACGTTTTGGGGAAAAATATCAGACAGGGAGAACTGAAGTTGTGGACATACGAAGAATATATATAAGTTGGTTGGTGGAACCTTCATCAAGACCACACTCACATAAATAATTATTCTTTATCTTTCATTAGGCTTTGTTTTAATTATGACACGTAAATTAATTAACACTACTTAGAAAGACGTCTACTTACAGAAGACGTTAAAATTATTAAGGAAACTCATGATCATCATCATCATTTCAGCCCTTCACAAATCCACTGTTGAACATAGGCCTCCCCCAAGGAATGCCGCAAAGCACTGTCCTGAGCCACATTAATTCATTAACTTCCTGCATGTCTTACCAGGTGGTCACTCCATGTAGTGGGGGGTCACCCTATACTTCGCCTACCAAAACGAGGCGAATGAAGCTCTACACAAGTTAATTAAAATAGATCTGAAAATTGCTGAACCAATCAAACGGCAGAATCCCCAAATGCAAGTTAATAAGAAGAGGTGTGGGTGTTATTTGTTCTACCTACTTTATCAACTTAGTCACCATTGTATTAATCCCCTTAGGTAATGCAACAGACCTCAGCAATTCTTAATAGGTTCTTATTTATTTATTCTTAATTGTACACTTTAATTAAAGGGATTATCAGTAGCGGCACGAAAGTCTAGCGGTGACCGTTATTGCGCATAAGGTATCATGGGGTAGTAAGCGGGTCGTGGGGTGGGCGTGCGTCGTTCGCACGCGCTAATTGGCTCTCCAGCTATCCCCTTCACGTTTAGTTCAGCGCTAGACTTTCGTGCCGCGACTTGTACAAAGGATGGACTCATGCCTCGTGGTTCACCTACAATAGTAGACTATCGAATATCACACGTCTGTGTATGTTTCGTAATACTTGTATGAATATTGTGCACTCTCATTTACTCCGGTACAGGCCTTATAACAGTGCCGTGTTCTGGTCTGACGGGTATAGAGGCCAGTAAAATTATAGGCTGTCAGGCATTCCATCTAAGACAGAGATCTATAGATCGTACTTTGACTTAGCTCACACTTAGCTTACGAAAAACTTTGCTTAGTATATGCTTAGCATAATCTTAGATTCTGAATTTATAGCTGTATCGGGCTAAGATTAAGCTAAGCTTATGCTAAGGCCCAGACAGTCCAAATATTAATTAATGGATGCTTCATTCCACGCATTATGTTTTTGACTTTACTGTATAAAATTAAAAAATATGTATATTCAAAATCAAAATTACTGTATAAAATTAAAAAGAAATATATATATTTAAATCGAAAAATAGTCCAAATTGTATTTCATAAATTATTTATTATTACATGAAATACAAAACGGTCGTATGAGAACGGGAACAGATGAGATGAGTGCAAAATCAGAAAAAAAGAAAAAATAAGATTTAAATTACGTAAATAGAAAATGGCCTAAAGCTATTTAACCGATTCGTTGCGGCACCAATTTTCGACAACTTTTAGCTGTGGCGGCAAACAAATATTTCATGACACGCCTGGCGTAACAGACAAGCCATGTGTAAAAGTAATGTTCTTTTTTATGCTTTATTTACTTGTTTAGACCTAATTAAGTTTATTTGACATCAAACATAAGTTACAAATGGAAGGATACTTGTTTCTAGTGGGTAACTACTTGTTTTTTTACGCGTTTTCTTTGAAATTGAGAGAAAGTGACTTTTTTATGAAGAGATTACAAACCTTTTGTACTATTTTTTGTTGTTATAAAAAAATCATTTATATAAGTAGGTACAGCTAAATCACCCTGGAAACCTTGGTTTTTATTAAATTAAATTTTCACCTAATAATAACATTTGTAAATATCAAACAATGAAGAACCTTAATTTGAAAAAAAAAAGGTGTCATTCATTGATATTTACAAATGTTAAATATTATTTAATGTTATACAAATGTAAAAGTAAAGTCGATCTGAAAATGTCTAATTAGTAAGAATAGCAAAACGAATGTTTTCAAAAGGAAAAAAACGCCGGCACTATACGGCGGCGGCTTGACAAAAGACTATTTATTAGCGAACCTTTTTATGCATGACCGGTTTCAAACTGTTTCAAGCAAAAATAAACCTTAATATCACAAGAGCACATGGTACTTCGTAGGTCTATTCGGCATAAGTCCGGTAATAAGACGGCAGTTCAACCATTTTAAGCAAAATTAAACAACAAGACAAACGCATTGTTTTTTTTTTAACAGGAGACTTGTTTTCCAGAAATTTATTTACAATTTGATTTTGTGAGCGATCGCAAAAAGTGCTATTATTTTTTACTTATTCGACAATTTTTCCATAATATGATTACAAACATAACCCACAAAGTAAAAATAGTACCATGTACACGTTAAAAAAAGGTTGTCGACCCCTAAAAATTTCAAATTTTCAAAATATTCAGAAACGAAACTGCATGCATGAACTACTCGCAAAATAATGAATATTTTGTTCTGGATAAATTTTCCAAAAAAGCAATTTGAGCGAGTTATAACAATTTTTAAAAAGACTCGACTCGCATGTCATACGCCAAACACAAAAGTAATCGATGGCACGCCTGGCGTGTCACCCAGACTGAACCGGTTAAAACTAGAAGACGGCCTAAAACTACCTATTTATTATTATAATTAATTAGAGTAACATAAAAACAACAATTTAAAAATGGTGGTTTTGAATAATATACTGAGTTTTAGGTAAGTTGTCGATATCGTTGACTTAGGCTTTGCTAAGCGCGCACTCAGCATGACTTCTAAGTTAGCTCTATAAATACTGACATTGTCTTAGCTTGAAAGTAAAGTCTGAGCAAAGTCAAAGTACGGTCAATAGATCTCAGCCTTAGACTTTAGATGTGACAACGCATCTGTGGCCTACTTTGTTTGAAGTTGGCCGCAAGGGTCCATAGACTTCAGTAGCCACTTGCCATCAGGGTTTTCAGTTTGTTTTTAGGGTTCCGTACCCAAAGGGTAACCAACGGGACCCTATTATTTAGGCTCTGCTCTCTGTTCGTCCGTCCGTTCGGCTGTATCTCATGATCCGTAATAGATAGACAGTTGAAATTTTCACAAAATGTGTATTTCTGTTGCCGATATAACAACGAGTAATAAAAATTATAATAAATTAAAGATTAAAGGGGGCTCCCCTACTAGAAACTTGTGTTACGATGGTAAGGCTACAGAACCCTTTATGCGCGTGCCAGACTCGCACATGGCTAGTTATCTACTTGTATAAAAAAAGTTTATTCTCTTAATCTATATTCAATACCTCATATTTCAGCGTCTCCAATCCAAAATCATCAAGCTGGTGGATGTGTCATACGGAGGAGAGAATGGTTTTAACCAGGCCATCGAGCTCGCGGCGGAATTGTTGCAGAACGTCAAGTTTATTCAGGAGAAGAAACTGATTGGGCGCTACTTTGAAGAGATCTCACAGGTGAGTCCTCTTTTACAACAATTTTTATTAATTTGTTTTTATCTCTGTTTGTCTGTTTATAACAAATTTTGCAATCGATTTTAAACTCTCTGGTCAGATACAGAAGTGAAAGTTTAGACATAGGCGGGTACTGGATGACAAAGCAAAATTTGCTTACTTTCTTGTCCATTTTTTTTAAAAATTTTAAACTAACTATCCACAGGCTAGAGACTTGAAACTTATCTCAGAACTGGATAAAAATGCAAAATAAACTTATCTGGTTATTTGTTTCAATTTCAAACTAATATCCCAATAAGCTAGAGACTGAAAATTTAAACAACGCTCGGAACTGGATGATAATGCAAAACTTACTTATATTCTTGTCTGTATCTTTGTTTTGATTTTAAACTAACTTCCTGATGACCGGACTTAAAATTTTAATGTTGCTTAGTTGGAACTCATTAATTATGTTGCCCTTTATGTTTTTTCTGCATACTGAAATCGCAATTTAATCTGTTTATCATGGCGATTGTGGAAAATTTATTCTATCAAATAGAACCATATCCCAGCACTGCAGATAGATCACAAGGTCGCTTTCATCAAAGCTTAATGTGATCATTATGATTTTAATTGCATACACGCAGGACACGGGCAAGTACTGCTTTGGAGTGGACGATACACTGCGCGCCCTTGAACTTGGCTCTGTGGAGACGCTCATCTGCTGGGAGAACCTTGACATACAGAGGTGAGGAATGTTATGTGTGCAATATTACCACAATCTGGATAATAGCTGGCCTGGTAGACGTTGTTCTGTTCTTTTCGATAGGTGGCGCTTTGAATTTTATTTCGAATTCATTTTGGGCGTTTACATATTAATAATTCAACCATAGTGTCACCCGACATATACTGTGTATATGAGTTATTCTACTCTATAAATATAGAATTTTTTAATAACTTTATTACAGTGCCACCTTTCGGATCCTAGCATAGTTATCAACCATCATCTCCACAAAACAAAAATATTGTATGAATATGACTGATGGAGGTGAAGTCGTTCAGAATTTACATGATCACTAAAAGATGCACCTACAATTATATAAATAAAGATTAAATACTGTGAAGTGGCAGTCTATTTGTGAAAAGTCTCTTTGTATACGTGGTAGATCCATGGTACAGCTATATTAATAGTATAGTTGTAGCACAAATAAGTCGACTTGACCGGGGAAGGACCACGCTGTCACAGAATACCAGTGTAAAATAGCAGCTTAACACTGCTGTATTTTGTATGGTGAGTAAAGAGAACCGGAGACTCTTTTTATGTAACTGGAAATAAGGCATTCCATCTTAGTCCTCACGGCTGACAATGCATCTGCATTTTATTCGCAAACGAGGATAGATGTAGATGTCTAAATCCTAAAACTAGAAAACGTAACACTTATTTTGGGTAACAACCAAAGCCTTGGAGAAGCCATTTTGTCCCAAGACCAATGAAATAAAGAAATATTTTAAATATATGTATAATAATGGAAAAATAACAGTGTAATGGTGAATTTAGGATGAATACTTAGTCCCTGTGCTACCACCATTCTTTCACGAACCAAGCGGGTTCACAACCGCATTTTTTTAATTTTAGTTGGTATTAGGAAGGTGCTGCTGCCCATTTCCTGATTTGTTTCACTCTGTCGCCTCTCAGGACGTCCACGGGACGATACGGTGTAGTGTATATTCTTAGAATAAGGATGACAAGCGAGCACACAGTCCACCTGACCGTAAATGGTTGCAGTAGCCCATAGACATCTACATCTATCCTCGCTTGTGAATCAAAATGCAGATAGATGTGAAGTAAGAAAGATAGTTTATGTGGTAGAGCCGTGTAGCAGCTATATTGATAGTTAATTGTATAGTTGTAGCACGAATGGGTCGGCTCAACCGTAAAATAGCTACTCAATTCTGTGTTTCTTATGGTGAGTGTAGAGAACCGGAGACCCTTTTTACTTCTACATTCAATCTTAGTAATCACGAGAGACAACGCATCTGCATTTAGATTCGTAATCGAGGATAGATGTAGATGTCTATGGGTCACAGCAACCACTTACCATCAGGAGGACTGTGTGCTCGCTGGTCACCCTTATCCTATAAAAAAAATAAGGAGTTAAAGTTTCATCACTTTCCACGTGCACAGGAATGTATTTAAACGTGAAATAAAATAAAATTAGTTTTGAATTTTTTTATTATTTCCCGTTCTGGTAACCCTAGCAATTTATTGTTCATGTTGGCTTTTTCGACAACATCAATGGCGAATCACGCCTTTTTTCAATTTTTTTGTTCTTTATTAATGTTGTAGAGAGTTAAACCATCTGAAATTGAATGAATCACTTTTCTCATAACTGCAAAGCTAGCTTCCTGTTTTCACTCCAAGGTATGCAAATATTTTATAAACGATGTATATGATATTTCAGATACGTTCTGAAGTCGCATGCCGCCAACCAGGAGACCATTTTGCACTTGACACCTGAACAAGAGAAGGACAAGTCCCACTTCACCGATAAAGACGTAAGGCTCGGAGCTTCCATGATTAGTCACGTTTTTATTTGTTGCTTTTAAGGATCTTGTAGCTGCGAATAGATTCATTCGCCGCGAATTGAATTGAACATGTTTAATTTTAATATACGAACGTGCACTCGCCGTGAGAATTCGCTGTTTGTGACTGGTACTCGAAGTGAGTAGCCATTCCGCTCAGCGCGCTTCTCTTAGACTACAGGTCGTTTCGGCACTGCATAGTGTATAGATACGTGTATGTACGATATACGAGTCAAGCGAATAATTTTTATTAAGATTTACTAAAGTGAGGAAACTACGCTATAATTGGCTTCTTGGGTGTGTATAGAATCGAGGATGCACATGCCAACCGAATACACTGTTTTAGACGTGAGCGACGAATAGATGACATATTTGTATTTGGGGCACCAATAGACTGTCGAAATTCTCGTGTAGAATTCGCTGTGTGTGACAACTGCGGCAGGAAGCGAATATTCGCTGTGTGACCGAGGCTAAACCCAGCTTAGTAGTGCGCGACGCGACTACAAATGCTTTCGTTAGAATCTTTTGACACATTAAAATGATTAAGGGTATGTTCCGAAATACACTTGTGACCTGACCACTTTAAGGTGTGACGTCAATTCAGTATACTGTGAGGCCGTTTCTTTTTAGTTTGCTATACTGGTTACTGTTTAAAACGGAACGCAGTCCAGTATACTGTCATCCCTATTTTTCTACACTATTCTCAAATGAAAATATTTATCATGTACACGTTATCTATTCAACAAGAAAAAATATTATTTGAATATTGTTTCCTTTAAAACTTAATGTCCGAGTTTATTCGAATAACAATATTATTCGAATTAACTCGGACTCTACACTATTCTCAAACTATTACACTATTCTCAAATGAAAATATTTATCATGTACACGTTATCTATTCAACAAGAAAAAATATTATTTGAATGTTGTTGCCTTTAAAACTTAATGTCCGAGTTTATTCGAATAACAATATTAATTAATTAATAATAACAATCCTTCGTGTAGGCTGTTAAATCTATAGGCGCTGTTATGTTTTTTGATCATGTGTTCAAAGTACTGAAAGCACCTTACCTCGAATTATGACGTAATATATGTCCCTAGGGTACTGCGGCAGTATACTGGCAATCCATAACGGAGCGAATTTTTCACCAGTGAGAACAATAAACAGTGTTCGCAGTGTATATCGGAACACGATCCAAAAAGGGAACGGATTCACAGTATACTGAATTGACGTCACACCTTAAAGTGGTCACAGTGTATATTGGAACGTACCCTTAATCACATTACTATAACACAGACAAATCTAAGTACAAGTGTAGTTTGTTCGTCTGTGGTCGACTCATACCTACTGCCCTACTGTTTGTTAGCTGCACTGGCAGACTCATAAAAGCTTGAGTAGGGATGGGCAAGGGAAAAATTATATTGATATGATATCGCGTAATAAATTTGCGTGATGTAAGGATAAAGCCCAAAATTTAATATAACTGACAGTTGGACGACGATAAAAAACTAAAACCACACACATGAATGCTTTATACAATAACTATACAAATAAATAAAATTGAAGTGTCTGTTTGTAATGTTAAAATTACAGCTTTTTACTAAATGCATATGAAAGTATATACGGTACTAACAACAATAATAACAAAAATACCATTTTTAAAGTTTTTGTCTCTGTCTGTCTGTCTGTTTGTTCCGGCTAATCTCCGAAACGGCTGGATAGATTTTGACAGGATTTTCACTGGCAGATAGCTGATATCACTATTTAAGAAAATGAATTAGGGTTCCTCACAAAAAAAATTAAAACCCCAAATAACACGCAGGCGAAGTCGCGGCGAACAGCTAGTTTTAGAATATATCGAAATGGATACGAGTACGATACTCTAAAATAAATATCGATATATCGTGATTAAAAATATCGACGATTTATATCGACATTTTTATGAGAAAATATCGATATATCGATATTTTTGTACAAGCCTAAGTTTGAGTTTGGCTAAAACCTAGTTCATTAGATCAGTCTAGGTTCTAGACATTTTTTTAAACAGTACCACAGTTAGAAAATTAATGTTGAACTGATTTGATGTCTATGTGGTGAGACCACTTTTCTGCCTACAAGTCTGTCACGGTTGGTATCACACACTTATTTCTGTCGCCAGATATCGGTATACACTGTTGTGTTCCAGTCTGACGAGTGTAGAGTCCGTATAATATAGTTACTGGCTGTCAGGCATTGTATCTCAGTCCTCAGAGTTGACTCTAGATCTGAAGACTTCTTCGTTCCAAGTTTGTTTGCATAAGATTAAGATTCCACTTGCCATCAGGTGGACTGTAGGTAGGTTTGTCACTTAATTTTTATAAAAAGAAGGCACTTGTTTCTTTTAAAAGTTGTATCTCTCCAGATTTCATGGGTTTTAATGTTTTTTACGCAGAGCCCTAATTATTTTTCTAAAATAAAACAATCCTAATTTACTCCTTATAACATCAGCGATCTGAAAGTGAAAGTCCCCATCAAAATCGTTACAGAGGTTTCGGAGATTAGTCGGAACAAACAGACAGACAAAATTTTATAAATTGTTTTTTTTTTGTTATTAGTACGATGGATACTTTCACATATGCGTTTAGTAAAGAGCTGTTATTTTAACATTACAAACAGACACTTCAATATGATATATATAGAGTATAGATATAGATTTCTTACAAATGTTGGTTTGTTTTTATAGAGCGGTGTTGAGCTTGAGTTGGTGGAGTGTCAGCCGTTGCTTGAGTGGCTCGCCAACAACTACAAGTCCTTCGGAGCCACACTTGAAATCATCACAGACAAGAGTCAGGAGGGCAGTCAGTTTGTGAGAGGATTTGGAGGTATTGGAGGTCAGTGTGCATTTGTATTACTTGTATTGTTACACACACGGTATGATAGCTCAGCGCCGAATGACTAAGACATCGAGGACTTCAAGTGAAGCTCTTGGTTTAGTGACCACAAAGTTTGAGAAACTACATTTCAGAGGAAATTAGTTCTTGAAGCCATTGTTTTTTTTTTGTGTAATTCTGATTTAACTACATGATCAAGTTGCTCTTTAAAAGAGGGGGGCAGTTTTATTGTAGAATAAGTGAAGATAAACAGTTTTATAAATGGAATTTTATAGCGGTTAAGTTGCAGTCCATACCAAACAAAGTTTAGTGTTGCTTAGCTTACAATCTCAATGCTACTTTTGAATATGAATATGATTAAAATAAATTAAAGAAAAACCTTTAAGCTACCAGAGTGTCTGTGTCTGATATTATTATACGAATAATATCAGACACAGACGAATAATATCAGATTTTTTTGAGAATATGTTAAGACTTCTAATTTTAAAAGAAAAGTGGCTCCATCGTTTAACCAATGATTCTCTGATAGATACAATAGATAATAAGAATAGATTTAAAAATAATACAGGAACTAAACTGACTAACTGTATCAGTCGTGCTAGTAACAGAAATTGAACTCTACACATCTATCTACTCTATAATATGAACCGAATGTCCATCTGTCTATCGCTAATATAGCTATCTGATTTCTGTGACACGATAGTGATAAATTTGTTCAAGCCGTGTAACACTCGAACAAGCAATTGTTATACTACACAAGTTTAAATATTATACTATTGGCTACTTTTTGTTTAGCGTCAATGTATTGTAAACAAACGGTTTTGTGCCATTTTGGTAGAAGTGTTGGGAATAGTACTGTGTATTATATAATGTACGTAATTTGGATACTTATGTTAAATATAAATATTTGTAGCTGAGAGGTACAAGATCATAAATCTCAATCAATAGTTATCATCAAAAATTAAAATAGAGAGATTAACAAACAATAATAATATCCATTTGATCCCGGGAGTGTCATAACATGGAATGGAGTATGAGAAAAGCAAGAAAAATCTCATGACTTCTGATATATGGTTTGTTTATCTTGATTTCGCCTGACATTACATACCCAGGCAACTTACTGAGCATGACGGTAAAGGCAAACACTCTCCACAACGGGAGAGATCCTTAAGAATAACATTCAATTTTCTTCAGTCCACACATCATTTCTGAAACTGATGACCCATAAAGGTTGACTCACGGGGGTTTCAAATGAAACTCTATTCCATTACAGCCTATCGTAGGCTGAACATAGGCCTCCCCCATAGATTGCCATAGTGTCTACTCTTGGCAAGCGAGTTGGCAACTGTAGTTGTTTAATTTTTAAAAGACGCTGCTGCCCGTCTCCTGATTTGTTCCCCTCTGTCGCCTGTTACGAAACCCACAGGACCATATGAGGCAGTTGATATTCATACACCTCCACTTCACGGTAATTCCATTACAGCCTATCATAGTCCACGGTTGATCACAGGCCCCCCTCTAGGTCTCATAGGAGCTATATTATCTGTAGTTGCAACGCTTGGCAAGTGCGTTGGCAACTGCAGTTTATTTTTCATTATTTTGAGATGATATCAGGAAGATGCTGCAGTCCATATCCTGTTTCAATTGACCTCTGTCCCATCTTACGAGACTTACGAAAAACCAACGAAATAGCTCTTTGCTGAATTATGAAATCGACCATTGCAAGTGTTACATTTAAACTTTATTTATCAGACCGTAGTCAACCGCTGGATGTGGACTTGTCCTTTATAAGGAAAGATTTGCTATAATAATATTCACATTGGTGATTGAAATATTAGAATGTCTCGCACCTCTGCCTGTTTGAGTATTTACATGTGCAATACGTGTTGCTAGAGGTGGTAGCACTTGTTGTCTGTCTTGGATTCTGAGGAGAGTAGGAGAAGGTAAGGAGAGCCAGTATAGTAACAGGCTGTAGGTTTTCCATTTTAGTTCTCAAAGGTAACAATGTATCTGCGACCTTCTTTATTTCAAGTTGGCTGCGGATGTTCATGGGATGCAATAGCCACTTTTTTAATAGGATAAGGGTCACAATCGAGCACACAGTCCACCTGATGGTAAGTGGTTGCTGTGTCCCACAGACATCTACACCTATCCTCGATTACGAATTAAAGATGCGTTACCACCCCTGAGGACTAAGCACGAATGCCTCGTTTCCAGTAAAAAGAGTCTCCGGTTCTCTAAACTTACCATACGAGACACAGCAGTATTAAAGTCGCTAATTTACGCTGGTAATTTGTGAGAGCGCAGTCTTTCCCCAGTCGAGCTGACCCATTCGTGCTACGACTATACTACTGTATACTGTACACCTACCAACTGCTCAACTGTAAGTTCGTTTGTCTCATCAGTTTTATTTAAAAAAAAATACGAGACTACAAATAACTTTCCATAGTCTGCTGTCGCGACACCCACGGGAAAAGACCGTGATGAATTCACGGCGTCCTAAGACACATTCAGAGTTTGGCTTCTTTTGCATACTCCTATTTGGTATTTGCTATGTAATTGTAAAATCTGTTTAACTGTGACTTATGATACTTTCCCTCTCGGCTGCATTCGTATGATATTTTATGTACGCTTTCGCCCTTATGACGGAACCCATAACTAATCCACATAACTAACATTTCTCTTCTGTTTCACTGCTGCTCGGATAACGCCGCCGGATATGACGGTATTCGTATTCATAAACTTTACTAAATTAATAAACAGGCATACTCCGCTACAAAGTGGACTTTCAATCTCTCCAATCCGACGAACCGCTGGACGACGTGGACCTCGATGACTATTAAAAAAAAAACAACGCATTTCAGCATTCAAAAAAAAAACGAAATATAGAAAAACGGACATTAACCCAACATAAATAACGTTTAGTTTTAAGTGAACGCTTGCATGGTACATTTTAGTAGGTAACTTTCACTGGGATAGATAAACGGGTGGTTCGAACGCGGCGAACTTTTTTTTCTAATATAAGTTTTCAAAAAGTACGTAGTCGGTGTGTTTCTAATGTTATTCATTTGAGAGTTTGGTTTCGGGCAGTGAGTACGAATCCCGCTATATAAAATATTATTTCTGGAATTGGGTTCTGGGTCTGCGTGTAATTCATGTTTGTAAAGGTCTCTGAAATACAGGATCAAATTAAAAAGAAAGGAAGTTTTAAAGAGTCGGGATAATTTTACCATTATTGATTTTTTTTTATTTTTTATTATTTAAATAATAATAAAATTAATTTAGAACAGTAAACCAACCAAGTTTTAAATCATTACGAAAAGTGGCAAATATAAATTATGCAATGTATTTATTAATTCTATTACCAAATTTAGGCGATTTAAACTCGTTTAGTTATTATTTTAAATCAAAAAGTCAAAAGTCATTTCACATCACATACATATCAATTATTTTAATGTTGTGAAATAATTCTAACATTTCGCTGGCTGCAAAAGATTTATCATATTAATCGATCGGATAAAAAACGCCGCGTTCGAACCGCTCGTTTATCACGCCATTAATATAATTTTTAAAGACGTTCCAATGAGGGGGACATCCGCAACTTTTTCTGCCGCCAGGGCGGCGCCACTTTGAAATGAGGTGAAATACTTGACAGATTTCATAGCGGGGAAGTTAATGTGTTCGAAAAATGTAAAGGTTAATGTTTCTTTTCATAATATTAGTTTTATATTTTGTATTAATCACATTAGAAATAAACAAACCAAGCTATTAAAAACTGAGTTATAAACGTGCAAAAAATTAAAGAGCAAACCACTGGGACATTGTTTTGTGTATTAATATAATACTCTAGAAAGTGATAAACTTTTATTTAAAACTAAATTCTCAGTTAAATGACATTGTGTAACATTAAATTTCACCTCAGTCCTTTTTTTCACCCTTTTTTCTGGAAATGAGGCATTCCACCGTAGTCCTCACGGGTGACAACGTATCTACATTTTGATTAGTAATTGAGGATAGATGTAGGTGTCTATGGGCCGCAGCAACCACTTACCATCAGGTGGACTGTGTGCTCGTTTGTCACCCTTATCCTATAAAAAAAAAAAAAAAAAAAACTAGCGACATCTGGCGAGCAGGAGATTGTTAGCCCTCATTGACATTTCCGCATCGAAATCTTAACTACAGGGTTCGCTAGGTTGACTTCCTACAGTCGTTAATGCTTCATATAATCTATCAAAACTATCACAATTACTCAAATCGACTTTATGTGACTCTTCGTTTAGATATGCTATTCTCATTCAGTTTTATAAATTTCTATTGGCGTTAACGCTTGTAGAAGATCAACTTTTGTTAATTTTCTATTTACGTTTATTTAAACTATGCCGTCAATTCCTTTGCTTTCTTCCGCAATCACGCCTTACACACTTTATTGTCGTTTGCACCGAACAATGGCTTCAGCAATAGTAATCCTTATCAAATAGAGATTTAACTTAGGTACCTGTTGCATTCAAGTCGAGAAGTCATTGATGTCGTATTTAACTGATAACGTGTTTTAACAAGTAGTTTATAATTAGTGTCAGGTATTAACTAGTCACTGTGTCAATAGAGTAGTCCCACGGAAATATGCGAACTGAAATACTGTGACGCCGCGGCTGACCGCGCAAGACTACTGTCGTGAGAAATACTAATAGAGAGAAATATACGGCTTTATTCGTCGTCGGCGTCCATTAATTACGTCAGGTGTTGGAGACTGACGTATTTACACTAAAAATACGCATTTAAAAAATCTAAAGTAAGGTTTTGGGGAGTTGATGGTGAGGGGTCCAGAAATGTCTCATGACATCTCACCAGGAGGAGAGGGAGGGTAGACAAATCGCGAAAATCGCCTCACGAAATTAATGGACGTTTACTGGGCCTAAGCAAATTAAATAGCGTAGCACCAGCATTATAAAGGATTTATAATGCTGGTGTGAACTGTGCTGTACTTACAGGCTGCAGTGTTTTAATGATATAAAATGTATTTCATATATGAATCCCATATATTGTGTATCTTCTCTCCACATATAATATGTATATGGAAATATTTGACATGACCGGTTTATAATACCTTTGGTCAACTGTTCGTGTGTGGGCCGTGCTTATTAATTCTTTAGGATATTAAATAAACATTTTATGAATTGAATCATAATCTATTTGTAAGTAGCTCGTCTGTTTTCTTGAATGAAACTAATTTTACGGAACGAGAGTTGGGGTGGGAATTAGCCCGGGTTAAACTGTGACATCAGAACATTAAACTATTCTGCCCCTTACTCTCCCGTGTACATGTAAAGTACTATGTGATTCAAATAACAATAGGACTGACCTTTGCAATAAATGTTTCTTTCTTTCTGACTTGGCGCCATATTTGTGACGTCATAGCTGTCAATTCAAATCTGGTAGGGTGAGCAAAACAGACGTTTTAAAATTATATTTATTTACAAAAGAACCACGAATGGGAGTATTAATCTGAATCTAGCGTTTCAATTTCGGCCATCTCTGCATCGCTGTCTGAGCCGTCATCATTGTAATCATTATCAGCACTACTGTTTTCGTTCGAGGTCATTGACGTTGCTATTCTTATTTGAATACCATTGTACTCAAAATGTCTAGAATCGCGATCAATTCCGTGAAATCAGTTTGAATCAGTGTTTATAATAATAATAATATTTTATTCAGACTCAGTCCATAGAGATGTTAGTATAACAATAATAATAATAATAATAATAATAATAATAAAAATAATAAGGCGTAGGGAAGTGACGACCCCATCGCCCGCTGACGTAACGGTTATGTGACAAAACTGCTACGTCAGCGCAGTCAGTCAGCACCTTGCCAAGAGGTGTTAGCGCCGTGCCTCGGCAAAATTGGAGGTGCAAAGGCCCGATTGTGCACATGGCCTCACCATGAAACGGTGCCGGGTCTGGGCGTCTCCCGTTAACTGACGCCCAAGTAATGGATGATGGAACTAAGAAATACGCGCAAAGGGCCGCTGCCTGGAGGTCGCCAGGGCGCGTCTGGAGCTGGCGCTGGACGCGGCAGCATGCGAACCGCCAGTCGAGCGCGAGGTGCTGCACGATCACCCAGCAGCCCCTCGCATCCATCATCCCCACCAGCTGGCTTGGTGTTGGCAGGGTCTTCGTTGGCCCAGCAATCAGCACCCGCCACTGGTGGAGTACGCCGCATGCGTTGGTCAATGCAAATGAATAAAAATGCATTGCGGGCGTATTTTGGGGCGAAAGGGAGAGAAATTGGAGGTTTTGGATATCGGGCTAGGATGCACCGACTATTTGCTGAGCTGGAGCCATCTATTACCGTTACCGAGCAAAATCTGGCAGACCGAGTTCGGTACATCATGCGCTCAAAAATATTTGATGACGCCGAACTCGAACGGCTACGACGTGAGGCTATTCCTTTGTCGAATGAAAATGCTACGACAGGAGATGCGGCTCTACGAGTTGCAGAGCAACCCGCACATGTAGATGCCGCCGTTGATCTCCTTGTAGTTGACTCAGGCGACGATGGAATAGTCGCCCCTGAACTAGAGCAAATGAGGAGCATAGTGGAAGAGGCGATTAGGGAAACGCGCAGTACGCCTCTCGAGAATCGACCGCGACTTCCCCGTATACCCCTAAGCAAGCGGAATCGGGCTGTCGTGAGGGCTCTCAACCCAATGCTGGTGACCTATTTGGAAGCCAGCCGGGACCTTTGCGAGACGGACTCAATTCTTTTTGGCGCCGTACTGGCAGTTTGCCGTATTATTGGCGCCAAACTTCCCAAGGCTGGACGCGCTACTAGACAAAGTAGCGCCATCCCAGCCTGGAGAAGAAGAATTGAGGACCGTATCGCAAAGGCAAGGGCCCTCATCGGCAGGCTGATAAGCTTCAGGTCGGGCAATAATAGGCCGAGAATTGTGCGCACCGTCAGGATGGCGTTTGCTGGGACAAACATCAGTTTGTCCCAGCCGGATATAACGCAAAAACTGACGGAGCGCATAGACGACCTGAAGCAGAGAATCGCTGCTTGGGGGAAGCGGATTCGGCGATATACCGAGAGGTCAACACGGTTCAACCAGAATCGTCTCTTCCAGAGTGATCAGAAGAGGCTCTATGAATCATTGGAGCGACCAATGGTACGTGGAACGGGCCCAGCACCGAATCAGGCCGACACTATCGCATTCTGGCGCGGCCTGTGGTCAGAGCCCGTAAACCACAGTGAGGGCCCTTGGACGGAAGTTGTGGCGAGTCAGTGTGCGAATGTTACGCCCATGGACCCCGTCATCATTACGCCGGATGACGTAGCTGAGGCGGTCCGTAGGGCCCCGAACTGGAAAAGTCCGGGACTCGACGGACTGCATCACTACTGGCTGAAGGGGTTCGTGGTGTGTCACGCTGTTCTCGCCCGACAGTTTCAAGAGGCTCTCGACCAAAAGTCGCTCCCGAGCCTCTTCACTACTGGGATCACTCATCTGGTTCCTAAAGACCGAGATTCCACAGACCCGAGCAAATACCGCCCCATAACGTGTCTACCTACCATATACAAGACACTCACATCCATTTTGAGCGCGAGAATCACTCGTCACCTGAACTCAAATCAGGTGATGTCGCGCGCTCAAAATGGATGTCGGGGCGGTGGTCGTGGAACCAAGGAACCACTCCTCATTGACGCGGTCATTGGCAAAGTGGTTAAACGCAACCGTCGGAACCTCTCCGCCGCCTGGATAGACTACAAAAAGGCATTCGACTCGGTGCCTCATACATGGCTGAAGAGGGTCCTCGAGCTGTACAAGGTTGACTGTACAGTTCGAGAC